TGAACAAAAGTTGCCTGGCCTTTGTGTCACTTCAGTACAATATGAGAATTTTACAAGAGCAGCTAACCTGTCAAAAGCTCTGTCTCAACATTTATTACAGAATTGGACTTTTGAGTTTGAGCAGACACTCCGTGAGTTGAGAGTGGCGATCCTGCAAGTGAATTCGACGCGTCTGGATCTTTCTCTGATGGAAGGCCTCTCCTCCTGGATTTCATCTGCATTTTCTTATTTTAAGGAATGGGTGGGGGTGGGATCATTTAGCCTAGTTCTCTGCTGTGGAATAGTGTTGATGCTTTGGATGGTGTGTAAGCTCAGAGCCCAAACAAAAGAGACAAAGTGATGGTGGCACAAGCACTTGCTGCCTTAGAACACGGAGCCTCCCTGACATTTGGTTAACCATGTTAAAGCAATAGGTCGCTGGCCTCCCGGCTCTTGCACCCCACGAGGCTAGTCTCATTGCACGGGATAGAGTGGGTAGGCTTCAGCAGCCCAAGGAGTTGCAAGGCTAAGCACTGCACAGGAGAGGTCTGCGGTATAACGACTTTCTCCTGGGAGATAAGTCATCTTGCATGAAGGTTCTATGTCATGATCTCCTTCCCCCAGAAAAACGACATCGGGACTGGTCAGGGCTCCCTCTGGGGATAAGACCCTGGAGAGGAGCTTTGTACATGTTCCAAATTTGCACATGGGGATTTGACCTCTATCTCCACTCCAAAGTTGTGGGTGTCCTATGGCTTCAAAAATAAATGAATAGGGGGAGATGTGAGGAGCCGCCCTCACTATCGCTATCGCCATTAGAAGATGGCGCTGACATCTGCTGTCAGTTGGAGTTTACCGTTTAAGCTGTGCCTCACCCGTCATCTGGGGTGATGAGCAAACCACCAATCCCGGCTCTACACGTCTCACTCGGAGCTCCTAGGCTTATATAAGGGGCTGGGTTTCTTAGCTTGGGGTCTCCCTCTCAGAAGCTGATCATCTATCTTTCAAGATGTATTAAAGCTTTACTGCAGAAGGATCCGAGTGTCCTGCGTCGTTCTTGCTGGCGAGACGGTAGCGCGGGACACCTTCCCTCCTAAATATATTTCCTTCCATTCTTGTCCTCTGAAAAAAATTTTTTCACAATAAAACTAGTTGGCCTTTCTGAGCCCAGCTGAAACTCAAGGGTCTATGCTATGCTATGCATTTTTTTTTTTTTTTTTTTGGTTTTTCAATACAGGGTTTCCCTGTGGCTTTGGAGGCTGTCCTGGAACTTGCTCGGTAGACCAGGCTGGTCTCGAACTCACAGTGATCCGCCTGCCTCTGCCTCCCGAGTGCTAGGATTAAAGGCATGCGCCACCAACGCCCGGCTATGCTATGCATTTTTTTTTAAGTCAATAAATGCCTTGGGCTTCTCCTTCAATAAGGCCATGGTTTACTAACCCCTACAGAAACATATCTCATCATTAGATCTCTGTTCAAGGCGTGAAAGTGCTTGCTAAGCAAGCATAGGGACCCAAGTTCAATCCCTGCCATTAACAACAGCAAAAAAGCCAGGAGTGATGCTGTGTGCCAAGTCCCAAGACCTTGTCTAAAAAAAAAGCAAGATGGGGCTCCAGAGGTCCTGAGGAGGAAGGAGAAGCCCCACCCCCACTACAAAGTTCATTTCTTCAAGGAAACCTTCCTGATCCCAGACTGGCACTCTCCTATCAGTAAGATCCCCTAACAGCACTAAGCAAAATTGTAACTTTATGCACTAGTTTGTTCTTGCCTATAAAAACCACAAGGGAACATAATTGAATTCTGTGTACAACATAAAATATTTGTAAAGAGTAGGTAAAACATTAGTTTGATAAGCATATAAACATCAAGTGTCAATTAACCAGTATGATCCACACAGTTTCCAATTCAGCATTTTACTACTCTCGATCATTATCAACATATAAATCAGTTTAGGTTTTTGCTTCTGTGGAGAAGGCGGAGTAAGAGCAGGTGACTCTGGAAGTCAAGGGCAGACACCCTGGGGCAGAGTTACTGGAAGTTGTAAATGCCTGATGCAGGTGCTGGGAACTGGGACTGAGCATCTCTCCAACTCCCTCAGGGCTTGGCCAATTTCTTTCTCCTATACTACGACAGCAAGGGCTGAGACAGCACATTTAAATAATAATCTAGTTTCATAATACCTGCTTCACTTATCTCACAAAAATGTAGGCAGGAGCCATCTTAGAATTACAGCCCTGGATAATTAAACTGTTAATTTGAAAAATCAGCATTTTCTAATGTTCTGAAACCTTTACTTCATTTAATCCACTATTCTCAATAATTCAATTATCTAATGCTCAAGGGAGTAGTAACTATTAACTGTAAAGAGTTATGATATGGTCAGCAACCTCTTTAAACTGTAGGAACTGTAGATCTAAGTGGATGCTAAATCATATGTAAAAGAAAATTAAGACCCATCATGCCTATGGGCAGCTCTCAGAATACCCTGACCCATAGTTAGAGGAAGGAAGGGAGACAGGACTTTGGGCCAAGGTCTGACTGGAGAGCTGCGTCTTTAGCAGTCAGTATTTAAACATCCAAATCCTCGGTAGTATGAAGTCATTGAGACGACGGTGCTGAAAAATCAACTGACTAACAAACCAATACAGAGACACAACAGAGCTCAGAAACAGAGAACAAAACAGTACCGTTTGGGGGACGATTCCAGGGTGGCCCTGTCTCACCGGTGCACTGTGAACCTTAGGCTTCGGGCCTCGCAGGTACTGAATGAACAGTTGTTGGAAAGGCACAAGAGTATAAAGCTTGGTCAGAAGCATCACCCCTTTCAAACTCAGCTCCTTTCCGTGAGGGGCTGCTGATCTGAAGCAAGAGTGCTAACACAGAAGGGAGAGAACGCTGAGCTACGGCTATCTAAGGAAAAGTGCTTACAGTAAGTATGGAAGAAAGTGCTTAAAATAAGTATAAAACACAAAAGGCAAGTGACATGAGCTTTACAGAGTTTTACGGCACTGAAATTTCAAGTGAAATTTAAGGTATTTTTCATGTGTTTATGCTCAGTTCTACTAGTTTCTTCTCCCTTCACAAACTTGCAAGTAAATATTTTAAAAGGGTCTGTCAAATATTCATTTATTATGAACAGATTAATTTCTAGGGGAAGAGCAGAAAGCTAAATTTAACAACTTGGTAGGGTCTTAAAATAAAGCTATTTCTGATGCATATATTCTACAACAACAAAGGGCTTATAAAACTGCAAAAAAAACTTGACATTTTAAACAAGACTGAACCTAAATTACAAATAAAATACTAATCATCAAAATTTCAACTAAAGCAATTATGAGGGTTTTTTGGGGGGGTGGGGTTCACACAGGGTTTCTCTGTATTGTTTTGGAGCCTGTCCTGGAACTCTCTCTGTAGAACAGGCTGGCTTTGAACTCACAGAGACCCACCTGCCTCTGCCTCTCTAGTGCTGGGATTAAAGGTGTGCGCCACCAACGCCTGGCTCAATTATGAGGTATTAAAAAGCTTTAATGCCTGCTTGACATTCCTTCCATTTTGGGGGGGGGTGTTGTTTTGTTTTTGGACTGGGAGTGGGGTAGCTCAGGTTGGCTTTGACTTACATACCCAGAGATGATCTTGAATATTTGACCCTCCTGATTCTGTTGAGGTTACAGTTGATCATGCTATGCTTATTCTTTTGGATATCTTAAAGAAAATGCACATAGGAAAGTAACAAGAATCCAAATACTGTATCAGAGAGATCTGGAAACTGGGCCTGAGTTCAATGCCCCAGGCAAACACGGTGGAAGGTGAGAAACCATCTTGCAAGTTGTTCTGATTTCTCCATGGGCGATGAGACACAGACACACACCAATATATACACATACATTAAAGAATTTCAATGTAAGCAAAGGCACGCACACACACACCAATATATACACATACATTAAAGAATTTCAATGTAAGCAAAGGCACACACACAAAAATACTTTGAAAAAGCATGAGTTCAAATAAGAAGACAGAAATATTACATTTGAGTTGGAAACTTCAGTCTTTTAATACCTAGTTAAATCCCAACTACTACGCTTAATCATTAGCTATCTTTGTTAGCTGGTAAAACAGCTACCACTGTCTTTAAAAAAAAGCAAAAAAAAAAAAGTATAAGGGGCTGTGGGTGTCGGCCAGTGGAATGGCAGCGATCTGATGTGATAAATCCAGGCATATAATGAAGTTCGCTGGGAATTTTGTTTGCAACCAGAAAAAAAAAAAACACCAAATCTGCACGCTAAACTTAAAGCCCGCTCCCCCTCCCCGCGTCTTATTTTCTGATTCTCTGGCAGAAATTGATCTTTTTAAAAAAATTTTAAGCAAAAAGGTGAAATACAGATATCTTAAGATACCTGGTACACGTTTTTGAAAAGCCGGCTTTAAATGAATTCCGGCCAATAACAACACTGCGGAGTGCCCAGATTCAGGAAAGTGACGGACCCGACAGCCCAGCCTGCGAAAACACCGCCGTTTGCGGTTCCGCTGCGTCCGCCCTTGTGATTTCTCTTTTTCTTTTTAAACCCGCGCTTCAGAAAGCGCCCCCACCCCGTCCCTGAGTAAGATGGACGCCCGCGCCGCCTCTGACAACAGTCAGCTACCCGGCGGCGTCCGCCACGGACCTCGCTGCCCTCTGCGGGCGGAGCGGAGCGGGGAGGCCGGGGAGGCGTGCGGGCGCCGCGGGTCCTGGGAGCGGGCGGGCGGGCGGGCTCCACCTCGCGTCCTCGGAGCGCGGCCGCCCCGGCCCGGCAGCTCCCGGCGCGCACGGATGCGGAGCCCCGCGGCCTCGGGAAGGCCCGCAGCGGCAGCCCAGGCCTCCAGGGCCCACAGGCGGCCTGCGGACGCGCGCCCGGCGCCGGCTCCCCCGGCAGGCACGGAGCCAGCCGCCGGCTAGGCCGCGGAGCCGGGGCGGCTCGGGGAGGCCGGGGCCCGGGCAGGGCGAGCAGGGCGGCCCCGGGCGGACGGGCGGGCGGACTCACCATATCTGGAACTTGAGCAGCGGCCCCGTGGCGTACTGCATCTTTAACCGCTTGCTGGGCGCGCCGCCCAGGTTGGCAGAGGCCTCGCCGCGGGCCGCCGCCGCCGCCGCCACCAGGAGAAGCAGCAGGAGCCTCATCGTAGCCGGCACCGACGCCGCGGCCGCCGCCTCCTCCTCCTCGCCCGAGACTGCAGCCGGCCCGCGGGCGAGCCTTCCCCAGCCGCTCCCCACGGCGCAGGCGCGCTCCGCCAAGGTCGCCCAGGGAAGCCCGAGTGCGCCTGCGCGGCCGGCGTCCGCGCCCACGGCGGAAGGAGTGCCAACCCCGTCGTCGTCGCCGGATCCCGGTGATGCTCCGCCACCATCTTGGATGTGTGCAAACACCCAGAGGGTGCGAGGGGGAGGGAAGGGAGGGTTTTGCTGATTTTTTTGCTGGTGAGATATATAAAGGGGGAAGGGGTGCATAATTGTATCTCTTGGCCAGAAAAAGGGGCTGTGGGGCGGTGTTTAATGGCGCAGAGCTGTTGCTCCTGCACTCCGGGGCGTCTGCAAGCTAGGGCGGTTTCTTCCTGTGCTGCCGGTGTCGGAGGACATCTTAGGTGACAATCACACCGGGTGATTGTCAGAGGAAGTGGCATTCCTGCAGTGCCGCCCTGCGGGGCGCGTGCTGGCATGGTTGATGCCCACGAGACGCCCATTGCTGCTGATGCACCTGTGGGCATCACCTTGATGGGGCGTTGGTGGCCCGCGCACGCCTTTAATCCCAGCACCGGGAGGCAGGGGCAGGCGCATCTCTGCGAGTTCGAGGCCACCCTGGTCTTACGGAGCGCGTGCCAGGACAGCCGGCGCTACAGAGAAAAACCTTATTTCAAAACGACAAAATGTGGACATCAGCTGAAGTTCATTGCTGGGCAAATTTTTACAGATACGACTGTTACGCAGTATTCACATTGGAATATAAAACGTAATCCCAGAAATCACAATTTCAAGGATATTTTATTATTCTTTTAACTGTCAGTTTCTTAAAATCTAGATTACAAACAAGCTTTTGTCACATGTCATCAAGGGTATTTTGATAGTGGGGGAAATGCTCATTGCAGTGGGAAACGGAACACATAGAATTCTGTTTAGTGTATCCCTTTATGTGTCTAAACTTCCATCAGTTTGTATCTTCCTCATTTTTTTTCAGTATCTCCCTCCCCCCAAACAATGGGTATATTATTTTTGTATTATCACAAATATATTCTCACTTACTTAAAATGAGAATGAGGTGGGGAACACAAAAGCATCCTTAGGAATCTAATAAAATCCTTTCACCTAGAGTTTTTCTTTGATTTAAATTATTTGGGTTTGGATGATTTGGTCTTTTTTAGATAGAATCTTAGTATGAGATATAAGTTGTCCTGGATCTCTCTACATAGCCCAGGCTGTCCCACAGCTTGAGACTCTCCTGCATCAGCTTTCCAAGCGATGAGATTACAGGTGGGTACCAACAGTACCCAACTCTTTTTCGTTTTGGCTGAGACAAAGTCTGGTGTGAGCTAGGCTGTGTTCAAGCCACCTACATAGCTTGGCCCTGCACTGCTGGCCTTCTTGTCTTCAGTCCTGGCTCTGGGATTAGGTGTGCACTGCAAGGTCAATGAGAAGAAAAGATAGGCAAGGGAGTATGCTCGACGGTCAGTGAGCTCCAGAATTCATCTGCCTGTGCTGCCCCATGACCCAGACTGTCTAAAATAATCACACCCAAGTTCTCGGAGAGCAACACGTGGCTCTTTGGGGTATGTGAACACAATATGTGAGTCCTCAGAGTTTGGGTACATGTGTTAAGGACTGAAATGTCACCGGGCGTGGTGGCATGAGCGCCTTTAATCCCAGCACTCGGGAGGCAGGGGCAGGCGGATCTCTCTGTGAGATCCAGGCCGGCCTGCTCTACAAGAGTTAGTTCCAGGACAGGCTCCAAAGCCACAGAGAAACCCTGTCTCGAAAAAGAAAAAACAAAAAATTGAAATGTCTGGGTACTTGGTTCCTCAACCAGCAAAGCCTCAGTTGTGAAAAAGTAAAACAATAATAATCACACCTAGGGCTGGAGAGATGGCTTAATGGTTAAGAGGGCTAGTTGTCTTTCCAAAGGACCTGGTTTCTATTCCCAGCATACACATGGTGACTAACAATTGTCTATAACTCCAGTTCCAGGGGATCCGACTCCCCTCTTCAGGCTCAGACGTACATCCAAGCAAAACACCCATACACATTAAAAAATTAGCCGGGCGTTGGTGGCGCACGCCTTTAATCCCAGCACTTGGGAGGCAGAGGCAGGTGGATTTCTGTGAGTTCGAGGCCAGCCTGGTCTACAAAGCGAGTTCCAGGACAGCCTCCAAAACAATACAGAGAAACCCTGTCTCAAAAAACCAAAAAAAAAAAAAAATTAAATTAATCACCACTTTTCTTTCTTTTTTATTCGATTTTTAAAAAAAATCTTTTTTGAGACTGAGTCTCTCTAAGTAGCTCTGGCTGTTTTGGAACTCACTGTGTGGACCAGGCTGGCCTCTAACTCACAGAGATTCATTCACCTATCTCTTCCTCCTAAGTATTGCATATTCCACTACTGTTGTAATTTAAGAAAAGTGGCTCCTGAGAGAGACACCATGTGACAGGGTTCAAGAAGAGTTTTTTTTTTTAAATTAGGGAAAGGGATCATAAAACGGGGAGGGGGGAGACTGGCCTCCAGGGACAGGAGCAGCAGGAGAGAGGGGAGGGGGAGGGAGGGAGGGAGAGAGAAAGGTAGGAGGTGGCAGGGCCCTTTTAAAAGGGAACACAGTGAATATGCTTAGGTGGTGCTCTGAGGGGCTGCAGCTGAGGGCTTTTCCTGTCAGAACCCCAAGGGCAGGCCAGTGCAGATGCCTGAATACTAACAACTATGCCTGGCTTTAATTTTCTTCCCATTTATTTATGGGGTGTGAGTGTGTGTACTTGTGTGCACTGTGCAACTGGAAGTGGGCAGGTCAGAGAACAACCTATGGGGATCGGTTCTCTCCTTGGACTTTGTAACTTCTGTGAATTAAACTAGTTTAGACGGTCAGGCTCGACAGCAGGTGCCTGAGCCCTGTCACCAGCAAAAACAAGGACAGCCCCTGGAACCGAGCACTTTATCAATAAAGCCATCTCCCTGGCCCCCATTTTCTTATTTTGGCACTGATGTTTAAACATTAAGGTTTGTTTACTAGAGACATGGTGTCACAATGTTGCTGGCTGTCCTGGAACTCTCTATGTAGATCAGGCTAGCCTCAAACTAACAAAGAGCTGCCTGTCTCTGCCTCCCGAGTGCTAGGATTAAACGCCCAGGCCACACCATGCCCAGCTAATAGTACTTTTTTTCTTTTTGCAGCAGCAGCACTTTGAGATTCATATCAAATTGAACAAAAGAACACATCACACATACTTCCTACTTCATCACAGACTAGACTATCTATGAGATGTCTCTTGGAGCTTATGAAACTTTCTATGAAAAGTTTCTTAGGACTTATGAACACTACTTTTCTTTTTTTTTCTTTTTCTTTTTTCTTTTTTTTGGTTTTTCAAGACAGGGTTTCTCTGTGGCTTTGGAGGCTGTCCTGGAACTCGCTCTTGTAGTCCAGGCTGGTCTCAAACTCACAGAGATCCGCCTGCCTCTGCCTCCCGAGTGCTGGGATTAAAGGTGTGCGCCACCAACGCCCAGATGAACACTACTTTTCTTTAGCAAGGGAGAAAAAGTGTTCAGTTAGGCTGTGTGCGCGCACGCATGTGTGTGTGTGTTGGTATGTGTGCATTCTACTGTCTCTTGCCAGTCTTAATCCCATAAAGAGAGTCTTACCTTCATGACTGCATCTAGTACTAATTACCTCCCACACTTACCATCTCCAATACTATCCTATTACAGACTGAGTTTCAACAACGAATACTGAGACAATGCATTCAGCCCACAGCATATCCAACATAAAGGTCTTCTGCCAACTTGAATTTACATGCTGACGTGGAAACGAACACTCCAAGTAATGAGTGACGATGCTTCCAGTGTATGGCCTTCTCAGTCCACTCACACATATGTGGAACCAGCCATTATTTGTACTAACATCTCATTACATACTAAATAACTGGACAGTGGAAATTAGTGATACATTCAATACTGAAAGAAGGAATTATGAATATCCAAAGCAGAAAACATACTTTATTAGGTGTTCCACACGGTTGCTGATGTGTTCCACTGTAAACAACAGTAAAATGATATGAAACTCTGTAAATATATATATATATATTTTTTTTTTTTTGGTTTTATGAGACAGGGTTTCTCTGTATTGTTTTGGAGGCTGTCAGTCCAGCCTGGCCTCGAACTCACAGAGATCCGCCTGCCTCTGCCTTCTGAGTGCTGGGATTAAAGGCATGCGCCACCACCGCCCGGCCTCTGTAAATATATTTAAAAGGGATTAGATTCCTATAAGAAGTTAAGTCCAGGTGGCACATGCCTTTAATCCCAGCACTCAGAAGGCAGAGGCAGGCGGATCTCTGTGAGTTCGAGGCCAACCTGGTCTACAAGAGCTAGTTCCAGGACAGCCTCCAAAGCCACAGAAAATGAGAAACAAAAAAAAAAAAAAAGAAGAAGTTAAGTCCAAAATAAAGTAAGTTGAAAGGGTATTTATAACCATTTATAAACAAATAAGCCTACAACATTAAAAAAAAAAAGCCTTCAAGTTGAACCATTGTAAGTGAAGGACTATCTATCATTTGGTGAATAATAGGCCCATAAAACAAACTCTGAAACACTTGTGCTGGGCAGAAGTACAGGCTAACTGCAGATTTTCACCATTCCGTCTGCTCCATCAAGTCCAGTCCCCAGTCCCATTGCCAGTTCTGTAGCAGAACACCTGCTGTAGACTGCCTTCCCGTCCTGCACCCGTCTCCCGTGGGTCACACACACTCCCCCCCACAACCATCTCCTGGGTCACACACACACTCCCCTCCATGTCTGTCCGTCTCCTGGGTCACACACACTCCCCCCCACGTCTGTCCGTCTCCTGGGTCACACACACTCCCCCCCACGTCTGTCCATCTCCTGGGTCACACACACACTCCCCTCCACGTCTGTCCGTCTCCTGGGTCACACACACTCCCCCCACGTCGTCTCCTGGGTCACACACACTCCCTCCACGTCCGTCCGTCTCCTGGGTCACACACACTCCCCCCCACATCCGTCTCCTGGGTCACAC